ATTTATTTTATTTCAGAAGCAGGTTGATTTTAGTTGGCACATTAATGCGATAACTATTATTTTGCAAAAAGGATACCTGAAATTATTTAAAGATTGAATATTGAGAGATAGCCTAATTTAAGCTTAGAAATTAAGAGCTGTGAAAAAATTTTGAACTTTTGCAGTCTTTGGAATTCTAGAGGTTTTAATGAAATTCAGATCTCTGCCATGTTAATAAGAAAACTTGAATTTGAGCAAAGAATTTAAAGAAAAATTAGGAGCCTTTTAGAAAAAGATCTTGTTTAGGTCTTTTGAAAACTGAAAAATTACTTGACAACTACTCACATTTTTTTAAAAAATTGTCAAAGGCATTGTTTAATAATCAAATTTTGAAAACAATTTAATTACGAAAATATCAGCACTTTAAAATTTGCAGTTGAAGGACGAGTGCAAAACAAGTAAAACTGCAATATTAAAAAAAAAATAAAATAAAAACGTTTTGATGAAAACTGGCCATAATTAGGGCATACTTTGCTCTATTCCATTAAAATAAATTTGAGCTACTTTTTAAGAAAATTTCAGAAATGTTCTAGTGGCTACATGTTAAATACCCCCAAAAATGTAAAGATGTTTGAATTTCACAGAGCCGAAGACGTTACCCAGATTGATTGGGGAATATTCATCTTGGTGAAAATCATATTTAAGGTTTAGGCCAAAATAAGATCCATTGGCCATAAAGTATGTACATTGTAAGTGAATACAATAGGCCACTTTTAGTTCATGTGAGTTGCAATTATATTTGTGATAATCTCTACTCAACACACTGTGGAAATGAAATAAGTTTTATTTTCAAATAGTTTTACATGAATGATATCTAACCATTGTATAACAACGAAAGTTAAAATCTCAACTGCTGAGAAATAAAGGCATCTTCAGTAGAAATCTGGTAGTTAACAAGCAACGTAACAAACAATAGCTGCAGTTGATAACTGAAAACATGTCCAGACTGCTTATAAAAACAAATATTTTTTTAAAATTTGTTATATATATTAATCTATTTTATTCAATTAATTAAATATTGTTTCGATAGATTGAAATGCAGTTTGGATATTTATTTGGTATGTAATTATATCTTTTTTAAAATAAAGTTATATATTAAAATAACATCATACATTTTGCTACTCCAAGAATGGCTTCCAGAAAAACAGAAAAATGATCTTGAATGACATACATTTCATGATGAATAGAAGTGAACATTTTTTTTACTGTATACAATAATATGGAACTTAGTCATATTTGCAATTCAAGTTTGACTGTTTTAAAATAATACAATTTAAGAAGAAATTCGGAAAGAAAATAAACAATTCATATACGAAAAATTTAAATGACGCAAAAAAAAAAAAAACGCAGCAAAACTGACATGGCAGCAAAACATATTACAAGACTTTGCCATTGAAGAAAGTATTCTTGTAGCAGAACACATTGTTCAATGTGGAAAACCATTTGTCAAAGGAGTATTTCACGAAAAGTGCATTTTGAAAGTTTAAGATACAATGTGTTCTGAAGCTAAAAATAAAATTGAAAATCTAAGCCTATCTTGGCAAACTATTGCCCTAATCCAAACTAATAGAAAGTATGGATGGTGAATGACCAGGTCATGAATAATTTAGAATCGACACATTGTTATATAAATGCTCATTATGAAAGTTGCAACACTTCTGCTAGTTATTAATTTTTATCAGAGCTATCACAATGAGTTTCAAATTTCGAAAGAACTTTCGTCAAGAGCTCCTGCAAAAGACATCAAAGGGAGATCTTTTCTGAGAGGTTGAAAAATGTTTTTTCTAAACAAAATATTGATGAGTATAACCCACATGGATCACCAAATATGATTTGAAAAAATACTTGTTTTGTATGACAAATCTTTTTTATTCTTTTTTTTATTTATCAAACAGCACCAAGAAGCTGTTATACACATCCCATAATGTAAATATACTTATTTCTATTTACCATTACAGTACTATTAATTTTACCATAATGCTCATTAATCACATCACATTTTTAGTTGTATAACAGATTATTTGCTGAAGTTTGTCCAAAGGGTTTTTGCATGAATTCAAGATCGCTTTATTAATGCAGTCTGTTAGTAGTTTGTTCCATGTGTTGTCTTGATTGATGATGAAGTGTGATATGTCTCCAATCCCTGTGTCTTTCCTCAGTTTCATTGTGTTCTCCTGGTCTGGTGTGTATAGATCTTGTGAAGAAGACATAGTGCCGTGGAAAGTTACAGAGGATATTCAGAATTTTATGTCTACAATGTCATTTCTGTTTCTCTTCAGTCCCAGTGAAAGAATTGCCATCTCTCAGCACCTCTGTTAGTAGTAATTCCTCTGTTATAGAGATTTTCTGTTGGGATCCTGATGACTCGCTCCTGTAATTTTTCTAAATATTGTTTATCTCTTTCATTATATGGAAACCAGACTACATTGGCATATTCTAGTATAGGTCTAATAAAGGTTGTGCATCTGCTTCATGCAAGCTAATTTTAATAGATCAACGCTTTGAATAATGTGTGTTTAAAAGCAAAATAATTCAAATTTTGCAATTTCACAAAATATCGTTCAATAAACAGAATGTTTGAGAAGAGGATGAAATGGCTTCTTTCATTGTCTGAAGAAGTAGAAATTAAATTGAACTAAAACATTAACTACAGACATTATCCTGTCAGCAATTTAAATCTTCAAAAATAAATTTAAAAGTAACAAAACAACAAAAACAAACTGATAAAAAATCCTGTTTGAATTGACAAATACATTTCAACGTATACTGAAATAGAGTATTCAATTCCACAAACACAAAACACTGATGAATTTAATTAATTTAGGTTATATGTATGTGTATAATTTAGGTGACCGTCTATCCAACCTGGTTATCCTAATATCCTGGACCTTATCCATGCAGAAGAAATTAGCAGAATAAGATGTTAACGGAATCAAATTAATCATTATTAATAATTTTGTATTCTAAGATAGTTTCTTACCACATTTTATTTTTTCCTCATTACTTTCGTTAAAAGAAAATAGAGAGCCATCACTATGTGATCTGCACATTAAGATCACAACCTTCAATAAACAAACAATGGTTTAAAAATATCCTAAATCATAGGCACTTTAACTCTCCCTATACCAAGTTCTAAATGTAATGCTGAATACCAAGTGGGGTACTCATGTGCCCCACACAAATATTACGCAAAATTGCTTTGAAATAGGAAATAACAATTTCACACACGAACATTTGACTATTTTCACCAGTCAATATGAAACAAAAGGTAAATTTAATATAATTAATGAACTTTATTATTATGTTTCTCATTTAATAGACCATAACACTTCATCAAAATACTACTTTAAGATCAATCCTTTTTTAGGCAATTGATGCATACTTAGTGCTTAAGTGTTGGAATGTTTATAACATTTATACATGACAAATACTTAAATCATTGCCCTACTTGTTCAGTCTCTTGTTTGTTGTGCATAGTGCGCATCTTCCAAATAAGGCTGGAAAAGAACATAGAGAAGAGCAGTCCGCCACTTCCTCTCCCAGCAAGCACTTCGTTGCAATCTATACTGTGTTTTCGGTCAATCCTTACGTTTTTTTCAGTCTGTCTTCAATTTAAGATTCCCCAGGTCCCATATAAATTTTCTTCTTTTACAACATTGTATCTGTTCTAAGTTGCTTCAACGTTGTCCTTTGGAATGCAAAAACACACAAACTAGGAGTATTCACTCACTAGTCAAGATATAGACTGATGCAGTGATTAAAATGCGTAACTGAAAACTTGAAATCATTTCAATAATGTAATTTTCATTTGAATCAAAAGATAAAGAAGAGAAATAAAAATTGGTGACACCGAATACCATGTGGAGAACAAATACATCCCATACTACAGTTGTACTAACACAAAGTGTGTGTTGTTAGGGAGGTAACTGAAGTAATCGAATAATTTGGCTGGTTGTTCGAGCTTGAAGGTTTGTGTGTACTAAGACACAAAGTGTGTGTTAGTACACACACACCTTAAAAATATTACAATCTTTAAAATGCCATTGTCATCCGCAAAAAAGATTTTAATGTATTTTGGGCAATGTAACAAATTTCAATATCACACAATCAATGAAGCATATACAACAAGAAAAAAGTGAGATTGGGGTACACACGTACCGTTTGGTATGCGGAGTGTTAATAGAAGTATCATCATGATACATTGTCTTCCTCTCCCACCTACTTTTCCCTTACCGAATCTTCCCTTGCGCAACCAAAGTTACCCTTACCAATTCTGTAAAGTTATCCAGATCTTTGTGTAAAACTACATATTGATACTTATTGATACAATCTTGTTGACTGATTGATTGATTGATTGTTAGAGATTCTGGCCAACTACTAAGGCAATTGGTCCAGTAAATGTAGTGCATGTTTTTGCTTGCGGTGGTGGTCTTCTCCCGTTGGATGCTGAGATCCGGCACAGACCTACCATCAGCTGTGTGGGTCTTTCCTAACTAGGTATCTCCCATCAGCAGGGCACCGCCCCATCTGGGACAAGCACTAAGGTCCCAACCGGTCTCCCAGCATGTTGGGTAGTGTAGTGCATGTTAGTGTAAGTGGGGAGTAAGGATAGAACAAGGAAGAGATAGGACAGTTTGCGCACAGTCATTGGCCTGTTTTGCACGGGTCCTGCTCTGGCATTTGTTTGGTGTTGAGCACAGAAACAACAAAAAACTACTCATCAGAGCATCCAGCCGCTAGAATTTTGCTCCAGACAGCAACTGAATTCAACCTAGCTGACAAGCTAGTGTCAATAATCCGGCCACCGCCGGGACTTGAACCTAGAACCTGCCAGTCAGAGGGACTGCAGTGACTCAGTTGATCCCCTGAGCCATCTCTTCCAGTATGTAACCTTGTGAACAGAGCTGATCTTAAAAATACTTTTCCATATATTTGTTGAAAAACTTACCTGTAATTAGAACCATGAACTTTCCCTCCCATTTCCTCACATTCCACAGACAACAACAATGTTTCTGACTGTCTCCTCATAATGTCTCGTTTTGCAATTTCAACTTCTGAATACAAAACTTTCAACAGTTCTTCTTTCTTACATAGCTGGGTTTTTGCAAAATTCATCTCATTTTGCAATCTCTTAATATCTCTAACTATTTGTTGCCTCAGTTCAGTAACTTTTTCAATCTCATGTAAATTCATCTGGACAGATGCAATATCCTCTAATACTTGATACCTGAAAAACAAAACAAAAACACAAACAGAAAAATATTAAAATTCTAGGTATTTTAACTTCTAAATGTTGTAAGAAAAGATGCTTGCTAATAACATTTAACTTATAAATAAACAAATGTGTTTGGTCGAATGCCCACAAACTTCATTTAATTATTTTTTTAAACAATTTTCAAATACTACATATCTAATGATGACACTAATTTTATAAAATGCATGAATAAGCACAGTAACTTCTTGACTAAACTCTCAATATTTTAGAATTACAAAACACACCTCTTGGATATTAATTTGCTCTCTGAATCCCACAAGCCATCTGCAAGGGTCCGTTCTGGAAGAACTGTTTTTGTTGAATCCTGACAATTGCACTGCACACTAGAAATTGCATGCTGTTCAGTAGATTCCTGGTCTATAGGTATCCTTTGCACAGGCACATCACTTAGTTCAGAATTACAACGCTTCCTTTTTGACAAAGGAGTATTTTCCCCAATTTGCACAATACCACTGAGTCTTCTAGTACACTCATTACTTTCACTCATACTGTTGTCTTTTAAATGTGTATTTTCTAATGATGATTCACTTTCATTTTCTTCTCTTGACGATGGATGTTCACTTGCAGGTTTTTTTCGTAATACTCCATTAATGTCTGAAGTGCTTCCCTTCCTTTTTAAAGCTGACTTTACATTGTACTTCCTCATAACTTTACTGCTACCTTGAACACTGCTTTCACTACTTTGTTTCTCTTGCTTGTTATTAATGGTCCTCACAATACCTACTTGTAACAATGATCCATCTGTTGCATTAACATGCTCCTCAGATGACTTCCGAACTATATTTGCTAAATCACTCCGAGTGTCACTAGCAGAAACTCTAGGAGCCACGTTCTGAAATCCAGGAGGCACCTTCTTCATATTAGTCAACGTACTGACAATTCTCTTCTGTGGTACACACAACACTCGTCTAACTATAGAGGACCCATCTACAGAAGAAATTCCTACTCTGTTAGGTGTGGTCACAGTCAGTCTGTTTCGGGAAAGAGTATGAGAACCATAAGTCGTGGTAATAGATCTAACTATTCTCCTAGATTTTCCAAAGTCAGTCCTTGTTATAATGGTCCCACCTTGTCCCCTTCTCACAAATTTTCGAGTAAACGGTGATCTTTCTGAACCAATTCCTGCAGTATTTTTTATTATAGTGTTTCTAACATCTTGATTTGTAAATATTTTATTTTCCTCTGTTCCATCTTTACTGACAGGTAATCTAATAGCATTCGTTACTTTAACATTTTCTTTTGCTTTGACTTCTTGTTCCCTGCGAGCAAGCTGTGCTAACTGCCTCTTCAATCTGATATACTCCTTCTGCTTAGAAGATGGCAATAATCCTATGTCCTAAAACATACAAAATTCAAAAAAATAGCTATTTAAGAATATTTCTTAGCATCCTTTTCAACACATGCAATCAGAAAAACATTGACCCAAAACATTAATTAAAAACCAATAAGTACTCTAAAATGTCATCAAATACTCTGAAATGTCAATTGCCAATTAATTCGAAAACCATTGCATTTTTGCCTCTATTTAGTTAATTCAAGATGTTCATATTTACAAGAACTTTTCTCCAACAGTTCTACAGTTCTTATGAAATAAAAACAGTTGTACTAATTCAACTATTTGTAAAAATACTCCCTAAGTGTTAACTTCAGCAAAATTATCAAAACTCAACATTATAGATACACAAATATTTTGACAATACTCGATGATGATACACTAAAAAAATTGTGTAAAGAAATTATTTGAGTAACAACAACCCAATTTACCTTCTGATGATTCTCTTTGCAGTTTGGCTGAATGCAAATAAAGAGAACACATCAATCATTTAGCATAAGAAAATAGCAATAAATTAAACATATTTTACTCACAAGTATAATTTTAGTTACTTACCACAACTGAAGAAACAGATGAACTTGAGTTGGCAACAGCAGAGGTGTACTTTATTCTACCATGAATATCTTTTTTGTTGACATCAACTGCTCTACCCACAGATGTCCTAGTCACATTTACAATATTACCACTTAGCACTGTTTTATCCTTACTTACAGTGTTTATATTAATATTCTTATCACGTTGATTGTTAACTCCATGAACTATTAAAGGAGATACCTTACTACTGGTTAATAAATGTGTATTGGAACTACCATTAGTACTAATGCTCTTACTAGTTTTCTCTGCATCTGCATTTGAACTGGTTGACGACAAAGTAATAATTTTATTCATAGAAGTAGCAGGTGAATTTGGGTTTTCACTGGCGTTATCCTGGTCATCTTTTGTGCTTGTTTCTTGCTGGAATCTTGCTTGTTTCAGCAACAAATCCAATTTCTTTTCAAAATCTGGGGGCACGCTCTGAGAGCCAGAGGATTTATCTTTTGCCTCTTCAGATGCATCACTTCCATTTGAGTTACTTGGCACAGCTATACATTCATTTTCATCTTCATTACTGTCAGAGTCTTCTCCAAGGTGAATTACTAATTTAGGCACGTTGACGTTAAATAAGGGGGTTAGTTGACCAGGAACTTTAGCTTCACGGCGCCTGATTTTATTACTCTTTGCTCCTCGCTTATTAAGAGATGTAGGATTCCGTAAAGGAAATAAATGTTTTTTTGGCAATGTTTTAACCAAAGACTGAGAAGCATTTAATGAGCAAGAGACAGATGCCTGTTTCAGTACTGAATCATCACTTTTACTATCATTTTTATTCAAACCGTTAGATTCCTCCTTTTCATTACATGATTTTTTCTCCAGTGGGATAGGAAAGATGTTCTTTGCAGTTTGATTATTCTCAGGAAATGAATTTCCATTTTCATTATTAATTGGAACATCAGTTTCTGACGGATGTTTAATGTTTTGTTCCTTTGTTCTTTTCTTCAACATAGCTAGCAAACTATCTCTTAAAACAGTTTCATCATCTTCAGTAATAGATTCTTGATTATTACTTTTTTCCCCGCTTTTTAATGTATCTGTTAGAAACATATGATCTGTTTGCTGTAATTGGTCCATAGAAGAGGAGTCAATGACAGGATCACCAGGTTCATGCACAAGATCTCTATCATTTGATGAATCAACACTTTTTCCTTCAGATGCAGAAGACAATACTGGTTTCAGAAGTGATTTACAGCAATCTGCTTCCAGCAAGTCTAGAAATCCCTTACCTTCTACTGAAGAAAATTTCGAGAAATTTTGCGAGTTATCTGTATTACCAGTAATACCAACTGATTCAGAACAGACTTCCTTATCTCTCGTTTCTGGGTCATTCAACAAGTTAGAAGATAAATTTGATAATTCACTTGTTATTTCGGTATAACCTTTAGCACATTCCTCAAGTTGAAAATCTTTGTTAATATTCGCTTGAGGCAGTAACTCATTTGAGCCTTGAGAGTTGGATATAGCAATTTGCAATGAAAAATCAGAAACCTCCCCACATGTACTGAGAGTGCTTCCACATATTTCAAAATTTTTTGAATTGTTCTGAGAAATCTCATTGGCAGGACATTCTGAACTAGTTGCACTATACAAATGAACATTTACATCTTTTTCAAACATTTCCTGAGTAGTTTCAAAATTGTCAGAATAAATTGGAACATTCTCACTAGAACTTCTTGAATTACTCAAGTTACAGATGTTCACATCAGAATTTTCTTCAAACAGATCTGCAACATTTACACTTCCACAAATATTCTCTTTCTCATCATAAAGAGAATTAGTTAATTTTCCAGAACTAGACACATCTTCTATGGAACTTTCTGATCTTGCTTCATCAGAACTCTTACCAACTTCATCCAGAACTATCATTGAATCTAAATCCAATTCCCTACTTACGGGAGATAAAAAACTGCAATCACTTCGGCTAGAAATCATATCAAGAGCCTCATTATTTCTGGAATCGACACTTACTAATGGCACAATTTCACTACTTTCTGAAGGTTGGAAAGACTTTCTACTAACTTCCTCTGTCAAACACTCTGCAACAGTTTCATGAATTTTATCATGAACATGCTCACAGTTTGAAACTTCAAGTATTTGGTCTGAGGAGGGACTTTGATTTCCGTTATTAAGTCCAAGAATATTTCCACTTTCACCAATATCCGATTGAGGTTTAGACACACTATCTAAAGGTTGTTCCGAGATACTAGGAATTTCAACTTCAAAAGGCGATTGTTCTAGTTCCTGATCACCAATTATATAGCCTGTCGGAGAGTCTGTGGTGCAGACAGTAGTAAAGTGAGTTGCAGGGGGACAGTCTTGAGGCACAACTGAAGCCACTGACTCCACAGAATAAATTATATTGCTTTCATCATCTCTATGCGGTTCAAGTGGTTTCCCATCTGCCACAAAAGAAGTGCTATTATTGTTGTTTAATTTGACTTCTGAAACTTCACAATTGTGATATCCCGATTCAGTACACTCCTGTTCTTTCTCTTCATCACTATCTGCCAGTTCCATATCAATAGTTGTAATTTTATCTACTTCACTATCATTTGCAGGTTCTGGCATATCATGATTACTTAACATGTTAAATTCAAAGGGAGAACTTAAATCACGATCTATTTCATCACTGCAGTTTGGTGAACCTAAAGGACTTATTGACATCACCTGTTTGTCACCCACATTTCTATTTGTCTTAGTCAAAGTAATCCCTTTCTTTTTTCTTTCTTCACACTTGCGTATAATGGCAGATCTTAATGCTGCTAAGCGTAATTGTAATACTTCATCATCACGAATCACACTAACACATGGATCAGATTTGCTAGAGTTCAAAGCAGCTTCACGCAGAAGTTTCAAATTATCATCTGGGTCTTCACAGCTTTCTTCCACAATTTCTTTTGATGGACTTGGCCTTGGATCTGGAGGCAATTGTATATTACATATATTATCCTCCTCCTGGGTAGAAGATGGATTGACATTGCAATTTCCATTCCCACTCTTCATCACTTCATCATCACTATCACAAATTGTAATTATTTCTGGTACTATAACAGGAACTTCTAATATTTGAATATCAGATGATGGTGAAGAAGGAGAAGTCAATTCAGGCATTTCCTCAGCTTCAGGCTTTTTCTCAGGCATAGTCTGTATCAGTTCCTCCTTTGCATTCTCCGTGGTTTGAACACAGTCCATTAAATTACAATACTCTCTTGAAGTCTTCCTCTGACTGGCTGAAACTTCCCCTAGTGGATTACTTACTTTGTTACTTTTGCTACTTTTCTTTTTCTTCTTATGCTTATCTTTTAGATCACCTTTATGCCATGGTACTTTAGATGATGTAGATGAGAAATAAGATTCCGCATGGTCTGGACCAATGCAGGTATTTCTCAGATCACTTCCACTACCATGAAACGAAATACTTCGTCTGCGACTTTTCTTTGATTCTTTGGCTTTATTCTCCTTCTCATGCATTTTACCTGAAACGTTTCAACAAATATTATGCTTAAACCTATACATACTTAACAGCACAAAGCAGAAAATCAGCAATTAGCTTATTATAAACTAATATGCATTTTTCATACAACTTAACTTACCCTTCTGAGAATGTTCTTTTAAAGACTTATGCCGTAGCACACTTTCATAATAACTATCTGGAACTCCAGCAGTCCGACATCCAGATTTTACTCTACTTTGACATTTCTTTAAATTCACGTCCGATCTTTCTGGGCAGAGCCTCATTTCACGCCTGGGCGAACGAATTAACTGTTTTTTTTCTGTTTTCACAAATTGTCCGCGCACAGTCACTAAAGTGCATGTACGTTCCCTACGCTTAGCGAGTGGAGCAATTTCTTCATCAGAACTAACGTCTTCTAAAGATCCTTCGTCATCTTGAATTTCTCCTTCTTCAGGTTCTTCGTCAATTTCGTTCCTTATTTCGGTAGGCGTTGACATTACGACAGATATAGATGAAGGAAGTGATGTCAGTTACATATAAAAGTTACCTCCTTAATTTTCCTCAGCCATACACCATGTAAACATGTTATTGTATGACCTTCCAATAAAAATACATCAAAAATTACAAAACTAAAGCAAGGCTGATTTCAACCATATCTGCACCATTATTACCCACGGGAGGATGTTCACAATCAAACCGTGTTGTGAAACTTCACACCATTTCACACAACTCGAGCAGGCTGTAGTATGCTGGGACAAGTTTTCGTGAGTTCAGCATCAGCAACAGATCAGCAATCCTAAATGCTTCGCATATCCAACGCATAACTGCAAGCAAGGTTGGTAGGAGTAACATTTAGAACAGTCTTTGACAATGTTTCAAGCAAAGCTCGAGTGCGTTTCATCGTTCCCCCAGTTGCGCATGCGTCCCTACGAACCAGGTTTCTCAACTTTAACCATATCAAGTGTGCCAAGTTTATGATGATAGTGTCCCTAAACATACATTTAAAATGGCTGTTAAGTGAAATAATTTAAAATTAGTGAAATGTGGACTGAAAAAAGTGAAAGAAAACAATGAGAATTAATCTACTTATTATCCACGTAGACCTTTTACAGAAACATAGGATGCAATACAGCATGAAGGTAAGAAAATGGACGTTGTACAATTGACGTCAAAGATTCGTCGAGGCGCGCAACAAAAGGTTCAGATAGTGTAATGATAAGGATTATAGTTTTCATAGACCTTCAGCAAACCACGTTCAGAAATGTTTTGGCGAGAACTGTAGAATTTAATCGTAGAAATAGCAGGGCCCCGCATACTGGTAATCGAACATTCGAAATGTCATGTTTACGTGCCAAAATTGAATCCCAGTTTCGTGGCGCAAAGTGAGCTGTGAGATTAGCTGTCAACTGGCTGAGAGTCCCGTTTGTTACTTTCTCGTAGGGGTCGTCCATAAATTACGTAAAGCAAATTCGATGTATTTTGGATACCCTTCTCTCCTGTAACACGATCTTGAACTCCCTCTAAATAATAACGTAACGCTTGTGTAAATCCCTTCATATTATATTTTCCTTCTTACGCTTAAACTACTATTTTTGTGGTTTCTTTTTCGCTAAACGAGAGCGTCATTTTCGGTAATGACTGAATCAAGTATCGTTTAACACAATGAATAAGGAGTGAGATTGAGATTAGAATTCATTGTAACGTTTTATCAGTTTACTATGAAAAACACACTGACTATAACCAAGGAGTACCACGATTTGTGCGCCGATACCTGGCAGTCACGAAGACTAAGACTTCGTGCATGCAGTTTGCTACGTAATTATATGTAATTTCGTTAATATCCGAGTAGACTTACTACCAAATGCTCAGAAGGCTTTACAAATTTCGAAACGGTAAAGAACAGACTGATACTAACAAGACCCATTGATTTTGTCTGCCACTTAGGAAAGCGATAACAGGCTTTTAGGGGTCACGATGAATCAGAAACACCGTTTTATAAAGGAAACTACAGTACATAGAAACTGATTTACTCTGCACAAATTATCAACTTCTAAATGATCATTTGCAAAATGCAACAGTTTTCAGGGGAACTTCATCTGTTATCGAGAACGATTTAATCTAAGCTGTAAGAGGAGTTATCGTACATACAATTACAAAGGAGATTGCCTATGCCAATTTTGAGACCATTCTTCTAGACGAGTGTTCAGACATAATAAATCACATATCTCTACCATTTTTCGTTATGTGGCCAAATCTGGTGAAGTTCAAGAAAGGTTCATTGGTTTCACACACGTTAGCACAGATAGCTCTGCCGTTGCACAGTAAAACCATGAATGATTTTAGTATAGGCGAGAAACTTGTTGCTCAGACCTTTGATGGTGCGGTCGCAATGTTTGGCCATTTAGGCCATCTTCAGGCTACAGTGGAAGAGGCGTTTCCACAGGCATTATTTCTGCATTGTTACTGTCACATTCTGATTTTGGTATTGCAGCAGGCAGCAATGTGCATTGAGAAGTGTAGACTTTTTCTTCCAAACTTGTCCAGCCACTCTAGTTTCTTTTCATTTTGATCGAAGAGAACATAAGCTTTACGTTCTTTTACGAGCAGAAAGCTACCCAAACCGGCACCAACGTCCTGGAACTTCAACTCCCGACTTATGAACACTGTACAAGACCAACGGGAAAATTTTATTTTATCCTTTGAGCATCTGAGGTAGCTTCCATAATGTGCGGTATACTTAAAATAATGTTCAGGAATCGCAACTGACTTTTTGAAAAGTTAGCCAGTGGCACATACTACACATAATACAAATATAAGTTTTCTTTGAAATTAGTACATTCATAAAATGTTAAGTCAAATATCATATATTTTATTTTAATTGTTTTCTCTAAGTGCTCTCCAAACTGCTGCTCCTCTTTGAACATCTGCTACTATTGGAAGTATAAGTAGTTGATCACTTTCAGGCCTGTTTTGAGCATTGAAAGCAGCTTTTTAATATAACAAACATCTTTAAATAGTATTTTTCCATTATATCCATCTTCCATTAAATTTTTCATTTTCAGTCATTGTTTTAATGTTAAATCATTAAAAATATGAGAGAGAAGTGTCATGTTTTATTTATTTAATTGTTCATGGATAACACTATTTACTTTATTAAAATAAAACAATGAATATCCATAATTTTCTATAAGGTATATTTACATATGCACGTTTAACGATCTAAAATACTTATAACAGACATCTATCATGATTGGCCAATTAGGGCTATGGTTGCTTGGAGTTAATGACACCCATCAACACATTTGGTTAACTCCTGCCTTCCGTCCCGCGAAAACCCATTTTTTATTTCGAAATTCAACTGAATACCCTTTAAAAAGGTTCACACGTGCTCGGTTACTTTTTTCCTCAGCTGTCCGTATATTTCATCAATGCTGTTTACACTTCTATTTTTGGTAAGAAACGCCAACAGAATCACTTCGAAGTTTCCAATGCCAAAAATCCAAGAAAATACGAACAAATTAATGATTCGCGAAATAAACTAGGTTGCCAAATATTCAAGAAAACACAAGAAAAGAAAGTACAGTCGAATTGAAAATTACAAATACAGTGAAGAGAAACGTACAAACAGTTCGCTCTTATTCGCCTGTTTTCGCATTTCTAGGTTATTCCACACTTAAACTACGTGTCTCCGAGGTTAGAGGGTTGCCATGGAAACTACACCTCTCTTATTCTGTGCTCGAGTTAATCCATGTTTATTGGTAGGAGATTTCGCTATTCTCCTGCTATTCTGGGCTTAAGCACAGAATAAATTTTACACCACGTTTATTGGTAAGGCTGATAGAGTCTGGTACCGTGCATTTTGTACACCACTACCGGTACCCAAGCTGGTAGAGATTTAAAGGATATGCAAAACGTGAGATGTGTTCGCGTCTGGCGCCCATGCAATAATTCTGCCGGGCTCTTACCATCCCGGACCGGCAGCGCCCTGTACGACGCCAGCACCCTCAGCAAGGCGCGGTCTCTCGTGGAGCCGGCCGCCCTCGCCTTGATCATAGACGTTTTGAATGTTCTTACGTATCTCTCCGCTTCTCTGTTTGACTGAGGATGAAAGGGTGGCGCACAGATGTGATGTACTCCGTTAATCTTGCAGAACTTTTCGAATTCTCTAGCCGCAAACTGCGCGCCATTGTCGGTCACCAACGTCTCCGGCTGTCCTTCCGCCACGAAGATGCGTCCCAAGGTATCAATGGTTGCCGCCTCCGTAGTGGACCGCACCTCTACTGAAAATGGAAAATTAGAAAATGCATCCACCATCAGCAACCACATGGAGCCTCCCAACGTGTCCGCAAAATCTGTATGTCTTCTGACATGCCGTCCCCAAAACAGTATCTCCTTGACAACTGTTTAGTTCTGACCAGGCCCCAGTGACCTTCATGCAGGAGCTAGAGCACCTGTTTCCCCAGGGTGCCGGGCACCACCACTCGCGTAGCCTCCTATGACGCAACAGCAGCACCCAGACCTTCACAGAGTCCGTCCTTCCTGGCCCACCAGGGTGCGTTGCTGCGCAGCGGCCTGGCTGGCCAGCCGTGCTGCACATATTCCTGTACCAACCTGAGCTCTGGGTCCTCGGTTTTCTCCGCCACATGGGTCGCATCCACAGGGGAGTCCTGCACTGTCTGCAGTTCCTCTAAATCCAGCTGCAGGTACTCTTCGTCTCCAGCATCGAATTCTTCGTCTGGTCCCGCCGGAAGTCGTGACAGTGCGTCCGCGTTGCCAGGCTGTGCTGTGTATCTGTAATGCATAGTGTAATTGTAGTCGAAAACAAACAGTGCCCAGCGCTGCAGCTTCTTGACCGTCCCCTCGGGTAGCTTTGTCGAGATATGGCATTCCAGCCCTCGCGACACGCTGCCGCCGGCGAGTGACCCAGTTGTCACTTGCCGACGCCAGCGTTCCGAAGCTATAAAATGGCGAGGGTTACACACACCTAGCACCTCTCTTCACGTATTGCAACCAGCCGTCGTGTCGCCACTCGCTCCCAGGACGATGGGTCCACTGCGCGCGTGAGTATAATAAACATCTTTAAAGGACACTCTCTTTACTTTCTGCCTGCACGAGCTGCTAGGGGTACTCCCTCTCCCCCTCAACTCGCGACAACGGTGTCAGGTGGGGTTTTTACGAACCCCAAATGATTATTTATAATCGAATCCAGCTCGCTTCATCTAATTTTTCTTCTTTTTCAATGTTTTTGTTTTTTTATTATTTTTTTCTCTTTTCAAAATGCATCGCAGTAATTGACGTAGATTATTTTAGTGGGCCTTCTTTCAATCGTGTTGCCACGGCAGACACATGCGTGCCACGGTTGGAACAAGGATGCTGGGTGCCCAAGACGAGGCTAATGGAAATGCAACCTTCCCGTCAGTTTCCTATTTTGCAAGCCCCCCACCCATTAAATGAAGCCACGAGTTATCCGCCCGAATTCAGTCACCCGTCATGTCGCACCCATTCTGCCACACAGCACCGCGCAGAATTTCCACCTCAGCTCTTTTCGCCGGCGTCAGCATCTCAGCGTACGCAAGCACCGTCACCGCTTGCTGCTTACTCGCAATCTTTCGCGCAAGGCGCAATGGACGCGAAAGCAGTACACGCTAAGTCGAAAACGGACTAGTGTGGATAAGGAAGCACTACTACAATTACGGACAAAAGTAACAGACATAAATAATTACATAACGCGATTGTTTCCGGTTAATGCGAGACATCCAGTACAGAGAAACTATACGCCACTTATGGACGCTGAAACTGGTCACTACGACAAGAAATACGGACCCAACTTGCAGCAATGTCTACATCATAGTAGTGTACATACGGAATTAAGGTAGAAAATGAAGTACAAAAATTAGATAATGGTTACAATAAGTATAATTCCAGTTCACTAAGAACTGAGTTGCGCATCAGCGACAGACTAGATAAGGAATTAGACTTAAGTTATATTAAGAAAGTGTACGATGCCAGTTCATTAGAAACTGAGCATTCAGGGTTAGAATATAATGTCCCCGGTGGGAAACTAGATAACGAAATAGAGACAAATAGTACGAAGAATAAGTGCAATGCCAATTCAGCCAGGAGCCGATATACATGATCTAGAATGTAAGTGCACCACAGGAAAGTTACAAACGGACCGAAATTTAGAAGTCAGTTCCAGTGAAAAGCAAGACGTTACAATCCCTCCCTGTGTGGTAATCACAATCGAAGGAGACCTCGTGACCGATTTCTATCCGACCATCATTCACCGACCGGACCACATCACTATAGTCATTGATCATGATGAGGACGAAGCTATCGTTTCCCCACTGAAGGCAAAACTACTGCAATCACCTTCCATTCCCTCTGTAAACCATGCATTGCTGAGAAATAAATTTTTCGCTAA